ACTTCCATGACTAAGGTACAAATGCTCGTATACATCATACTAACGTTTGCCCCCACCGGGATTCGAACCCGGGAACTCTGAGTATCATGTATCATTAAGTATCTGGTTCCTCAATATGTAAATATAAGATATGTGAGAACAATTTCTTTAATTTCATTTGGTAAGTTCAAATACAAAAAAAGAATATCTTTTCTTTTCGACGCGTAAGTACCTTCTCTTAAAATCAGCAATGGTGTAGACTCTGGCAAAAATTTCTTTACCTCAACTTAAATTTCACAACAGCGTCTGATGAGAGACTGATGTGAAATTCAGTTTTAAGATTAGAGTGCATGCATGCCAGAATCCGACACCATTAGATTATTATATTTTTATTTTATATTATGCATTTTACTGATAGGTTTATAAATAAAAAAAAATATTATAGTGCGATTCAAATAAGAATAGAAAAGCCAATGACCTCAAATGTCGCTTGAAAAGTACGGTTTACAAAAAAAATGGAACCCATTCTTAGCACTCTGCTAATTCTAGAATAAAAACGAAACATTTGTAAACAAACAATAACAAATATTGATAATTAATATTGTTTGATATTTTTTTTCCTTTATTGAGTTTTGGCTACGACTGATTAATAACCGTCGTGATTACGTCAACCAAATGTCACTTTAAGTTGCGTTCATAAACTCTAATTAAAACTCGTTTTCATAAAGGATGCATATTCGTATGTGGCCTATTAATAGTGCATGATTATTCATAACTACTCCGGCGGTAATGCAGAGATGAGCGGAATTGAAGAGCTGGATTTTGATTAATGTTTTTTTTTACAAATAAATATAATTAAAAATCGGTTGGTGTTTTTCTCAATCTTAGTAAATAAATTTTATTTAAAAAAAATCTGATGTTTTTCCTCAATTAATCTTAGTGAATTAGTTTTATTAAATAAAACTTTTTTTTGCTCACTCTACCTATTTGGTTTGAATTGACAGCTATGACGACACAATATGGCGCCCTGTCGGTCCTATTCTTAGTTGAATCGCATTATACGAGAAAATATTCTACGTGGTCAAAGGCATCACACGGGATTCGAAACCGCACCTTCCGCAAATCGGGCGGAATACAAATAGGGTTGCCAACCCTACTATATAATATAGTGGTGTTGATTCTGGCGTGTTTCTCTAAACTTAAAACTAAATTTAACATCAATCTCTCCTTTTCATTCCGTATAGAGAATGACAAGGATACGCTGTTGTCAAATTTAAGTTTAGGTTTAGAGAATCTTGTCAGAATTGACACCATTATCCTACTATATTATCAAATACTATATTTCTGACAAAAAATATATAGTAGGTAAAACTGCTATATTTTGCATAAAGAGGATATTTATCAGTAAAATCTTTCTTAAAAATAAAAATTTTATTAGTAAGGCACAGAGTAGCAAAAAATATTTATTTAAAAACAAAATTAAATGTTTAAAACACATACTTAATATTTTTTTTTGCCATATACTATATTTTTAGAGGTAACAGCTTCGAAAATACTATATTTGATACCTCCAAGTTGGTAACCCTGAATACAAACAACAAAAGATGCATAGGTAGTGTAAGTATGTTACCTCATTGTGTCTTTTGATCGTGTCTTACTGGATAAAAAATTGTATAAGGCGCTTTGCAGACGACGGGGCGGGGCGGGCCGGTCAATTTCACCGCGAAAAGTAGCACAAAGTGAATCCTATACTTCAAACGCACACAGAGGGCAAAAAGACCGCGCCGCATGATGGACTATTCACTAGAACGAACGTCCTGAACTGACCGCCTCTGCCCGTCGTGTGCTTTGTGTACGCGGCGCGGGCAGCCGCCGACATCGACGGGCAGACGCGGTCTGTATTGCTTCGCGGACAAAAAGCCCGCCCCGCCCCGTCGTCTGCTAAGGCCCTAACAGTAGCTAAAAGAACCGAATCGAAACCTTTACTATGGTTCTCATAAAATGCAGGGTGTTATGAGACGTGAAGATAGATAGAACATTAATCTAATTATAAAATCTGTGCAAAATGTTGTCAGTGACTCACTGAGCTAGTAATCTTTTACAATGGGTCTGACTCCCTTCTCATTAATCTAATTTGAAAACAATCTCTTTTTTATTGCTTTAGAGCCTGACAAGGATACAGTGTTGTCAAAATTAATGTTGCCTAAACGGACTCCTTTTAATAATGTATTTTAAATATTAACTGTAAGGTGCACAATGTAAAAGTAATGTCATTTTATTCTTGTTTTTCTTACTTAAATTATATTTTTAACATACATTTTTTTGGTTTAGACAATCATGCCAGTCCCATTGCATACATAATATAAAACCATTATGTAAATATGTTATAAAAATACCTATGTGTAATGTTATATTAATTGACAACTTATCATATTAATAGTATCAAGTACATCATAATTAAATACATAGTATCAGTATATTATAATTCGTTAAATGCAAAATTAACATTTTAGTGTAAAAGGCACAATTCATACAGTTCCACTGCGATTTTACAAACGTAAGGCACTTATATCTCGCTTACTGATAAATTTAATACTAATTATTGTTATAAAAATAAAATATTATAATAGGTACCGAGTAAATTATGAGAGTGAAATTTTAAGATGCGCGCGCATCACTGTAACACAAAAGTAACATAATGAAGTTGGCCGAGGGCGCGTTATGAAAAAATCATGTGAGTGAAATTTCGAGATGCGCGCGCATCACTGTAACACAATAGTAACACCATGAAGTTGGCCGCGGGCGCGTTATGAATGTTAGTGTCTAATAATGGTGAATTATTAACCACTTAGTGGTAGACATCTGTTCGAAAGGTACTTTGAACGATCCACGGAGCTCCATAAGATGATCGCGTTGTCAAAAACAATGTTGGCACGCTCGCCGCCTCTGATCACTGTTTTCATATTTATAATATTTATCCACATGTTTCTAGTTTCTATATAGACACAATGTTTTTTAGTTACTTACAAGTGCTAATTACATATGGACTAATAACTTAAATTCAGTAGTGATTTTAATTGAATATTTTGAATATTTATTTAATTTTTCATATTAAAACTGAACTTAATTGACAGATAGTTATATGATAGTTAACACAACTATCCTTTTCCAGTCCTTTTATTATTTTATTGTAATTATTAATTATTTGCATGCAATTAAAAAATATTTTTAATGATGCTAAAGAAGTATAACTTCTCACGCGCGTACATAAGTTACACGCATCCATTTTTTTTTCAAATAAAATAGTAGCTTCTCTTTGTGATGAATATGTCACGTTTATATCTTTCCATTGTGAAAAAAGGAAAATATAATATTTAGGGGTTAATATATATATTTTTTTAATTTTGGGCCAAAGTTGGCCTTTCAAAACAAAACAAACTCATTTTAAGCCATGTTGGGGTTAAGTAACCCTTATAACAGATCACCATTAGCATACTGAATACACAAATGGATGTTTTTGCGCAAAAATAATTAAGTTAAATATTTAACTTCAAATTTAGTAAAAATAGTAAACTTAACGAAAACCACAGTTTTGAGAAAGTTTGCGCATGAACTAGCGAACTATTTCAGTTACAAAAAATCCGGCGTTACAATGATAACTTGATACAGGAACGATGTCGGTGAAACAACACCACACTGCGCGCCCATATGGCTATCTATGATTTTTAACTGGAACTATTATGGTCACCTAAGAGATACTGATGGGGCGGCAAGTTCAATATTTTTTCTGATTTGGGACAAAGTGGGTAAAGTAACCCTCACTTACGGTACCTACAAAAATTTCATAAAGAGGAAAAATTGAGGTTTTTTTAATACAGTGTTTCTGTGAATGAACTTCCACAGGTTTTGTAATATAGCTGAAAAGTACTAATATTAATTCCATCATGAAAAAGTTACTAAATTGTATTTTTAGTAACTTTTTCCATATGTTTACACTTGGTCGGATTTGCAAAAGGACGGATTCTCATTTCGCTGGATCCAGTACAATAATGTTGAGAAAACATATTTATAATAAAACATATATTTTTCAAGCCAATGGTCTCAAGAAATTTTGAACTTGCAATGTTTTATTTTTAGCAAGAAAAACAGCATCTACAAAATACAAGTACATATTCCGAAAATGTCAACTCTGCATTTATTTTAGAGACATCGCAACTCAAGATTAAAACAATAATATTTACATTCTGCAATTATAAATGTACGTTTAAATAAAACTGTTGCTGAAAAAAGCTTGGATTTTCCTTGTAAACGTTTTTCTTGGTAACTGTATTCCGGCAAAATGAGAATCTGTCCTTTTGAGAATCCGACCAAATGCAAATAAATGACTTTGTGCCAAAGATTTTGGTTTTTACTATATTAGTGACAAAGTATATATTGAGGTATAAATAAATTAAATCTGGCCTTATGAAGTAGATACCTTAATTCAAAACATATGAAGATTTCATATTATTCGAGAAATTTGTCAACAATTCTTTAATTCACAAAATAAAATTCATAAATATATTCCTTCTTTGATTTGTTAAAATTATAGTGACTTCATGATTATTAACCATAATATTCATATAAGGTACTTCATTTTTGATTTTTTCTTTGATTTAATTGATTTCAAACATTTAAAAACTACAAAATAAATGTATAACATTTTTTTATACTAGGATATAATATCCCCTGGTCTGTCTAGCCCGCCACTTTGTTTTTCACAGCTGGAAAATCAACATTGTCTGGACCATTTTCCTCTTGTTATTCGAGTTCTAAAATAGATCCAGACTTCATTTATGTCTTAAATCAATCCTGAATAGTTTCTCTACAAACTTATCTATATATTAGAAGTGAAAATTAAAACTATTACTAATTATGACAAAACGCAAAATATGAAAAATGAAACTAATTCTCTCAACTCATGGCAGAAATCATCCACTTACACAGACGAGGGGTTAAAATCTTACAAGCTATTAAACAGTCATCGGTGAGAATAATTTCTGTAAACAATTAATAAGATTAAAGTAATGTGCTTATTGATATTAAAGTAAATTGTTCCTTAATTTAAAAGAATCACTGTGGGGGCAGACCTCTCTTCCACCCTCTGTACTTTAAAAATCCATCAAAAGCATATGCACCTATTGCACACAGTCCAAAGAACTGAAAACAAAACAGGTTTAATGAAAAATAAATTCAGCATTTCCAAATAAGAAAACTCAAAATATCAATAACATACCCCAACGGCATATCCAACACTCTCGGCAAGAGTAGCTGCAAATATTGATGTGCCAATATAAGTAAGTACAACAGCACAACAATAGAAGAATTCCAATTTGTACCACGGCAGGTGATCATACTTTTCGACAAAATGAAACATGTACATCACTAGTAAGAATAAAGTGATGGTGTTTGCAATCCAGTATAGAAGATTATAGAAGATGGGGGATATAAATGCACTTGATACCTTTATACAGATGAAACCTATGATGTTGCAAACCTGCAAGTTTATAATGAATTACCATTATTGTGGAATAAACTTAAGACCTGATTTAAGATGATTTATTATATAAATGAGGAGCTCAATGGCGTAAGTGGTTAGCGCGTTCGGCTGCTAACGTTGAAGTTAAGCAACTTTCTCAGTGGTTGGTCATTGGATGGGTGACCAAAAATTTACTATCTCGATCTCCTCCGTGCTTCGGAGGGCACGTTAAGCCGTTGGTCTCGGCTGCATGCAGTTGTTAACACCCACCAATCCGCACTGGGCCCGTGTGATGGGTCATGGCCCAATCTCCCTATTCCATCCATAGGGAAGGCCTGTGTCTCAGCAGTGGGGACATTAATAGGCTGATGATGATGATGATGATTATATAAATGAGCTGTCTGCTGAAATGTAAGAAAAAAGAACCAAAAATTTTTGTGTTGATATTTTATTTTTTAAGTACCTAGGTGATTATTCCATTTGCATGGCATTTTGCTCTCTCGAGAAAATAGATAATGAACTATCAAATTAATCCATAGTAGACACCAACATCTTCAACTTAGTTCTTGCCTGCTTAAATGCCTTATGCATCCTTCAACCACTGGGGGAGCGAGAAGGTATCTGGGACTCCTCCCTGCTAATTTCAGCCAATCCTGGGGCTCGGTGAAATGAGCAAGGCCCTATCAAACAGGGTTAGTAAATACCAGACAATATTCCTGCACCAGTCACCCATTACGCACTTCAAGGACCGCAGTCCCAAGAGTGCAGATATAGTCATGGCACAAAATTAAGACTGGCGCATCTTGAAATCTAGAGCCCCGGGCCACTTAAGATTTGCACCCCACTTTGGAATTAGTACATTAAATGCCTTTAAAGGTCACTAACAAATGCTTATATATGGCATCTGCCGCCCCTCACCAGAGCATGCAGCTGCTCCTTGCAGATGGCACCCCAGGCCATTTAATATTTCACCTCAGTGAAGAGTATAATGTCCGCTCATATTTTAATTAATCAACTGTAATTCTGTATTTTAATAGACCTATATTAATCTAATAGTTATTTACCAGTTGTACAATTTTTAAAATCCCTGGTGTTGTCTTTACATATTGCTTGTCAAACCTTAAGACTTTAGTACTTTGTGGAGATGCTGTCTCAGCTTGGGCATGGTTCTGCCCATAATTATCAAACATTGTGAGCTATTCTGAAATAATAATCATAATCTTTATTGCTGCATGTTGGTACATAGGTTCTTAAAATTAAAATGAGATATCACAACATGATCCCTGCAAGGGCATTGCAAACATTTTTTGTAGCGAAATTTTCTTAATTACCAAGAATATTTTATCCCAGCTTATAAAAAGTTATAATAAGGAGCTAAGAAGCACCCAAGCACTCCTACCTTTAAAAATTTAATTAGAGCGCAGAGCAGAGATACATTAAATTAAAATAGGTAGGTATGTTTTCTCTTTTCCATTAATTATGTTCAGAAAAGTGATGTCATTAACCACAAAACAATAGGTAAGTATTTAAGTGTAAATAAAATAATTTAAGCAAAGGAGTAACGAAATAAACTAATTGATTTTTACATGTAATTCTGGGTCTGTTTTTATTAGAAACTTTGTGATTGTGATTTATGAACAGTGTTGCCAGTACCTGCGTCGTGTTTCGGACGATTCGAAATCTGAAAAGGGACGATTTTTAGTCAAAAAGGACGGCCTTACAGAAATATTAAACTAAAGGCTGAACTATATTTATCTTACGTGTTGTATTGTGGCGCAATCTGCTTCATACATTTAGTACGGTTAGCACTAAGAACTATACCTGTGTGTCGCGATGTTTCGACAGCGTTCTCACTTTAACCATAATTGTATGAAAGAGATAGCTCTCTGATGTGTTACAACACAACACGACAGGTAAGTGTAGTTCTATCATAATGCGGTTAAATGAAAAAAAAAGCGAGTGTGTTTAGGAACACACGACTGAAGTGAAATTTCTATAGCTCCAATGATCTGAAATTTGATAGAAAAAAACTACCAATCCGCGCTGGGTCCATTATCACACACCAATCCGCACTGGGTCCATTGCCACCGACTAATCCGCGATGTGTCCGTTATCACCCTCCAATCCGCACTGGGTCCATTATCACCAACTCATCCGCGCTGGGTCCATTATCACCCACTGGATCCGTTATCATCCACCAATCCGCACTGGGTCTGTTATTATACACCAATCCATACTGGGTCCGTTATCACCCACCAATCCGCGCTGGGTCCAGTGTCACCCACCAGTCCACACTGGGTCCGCTATCATCCACCAATCCGTGCTGGGTCCATTATCACCCACCAATCCGCACTGGGTCCATTGCCACCGACCAATCCGCGCTGTGTCCGTTATAACCCTCCAATCCGCACTTGATCCATTATCACCAACCCGTCCGCGCTGGGTCCATTATCACCCAACAACCCGCACTGGCTCCGTTATCATCCACCAATCCGCACTGGGTCCGCTATTATACACCAATCCACACTGGGTCCGTTATCACCCACCAATCTGCGCTGGGTCCGTTATCATCCATCAATCCACGCTGGGTCCGTTATCACCTACCAAGCCAAGCACTAGATTTATGTATTTTGTTACAGGTATTGTTCATTGTTTACCGATGAGTCACCGATGACACTAATCGTAACACGAAAAGGGAAGATGCATATATAATATATATGAAAATTTTATGATTAAAATGTTAAAAAAATATAAAAGAAATGCCACTGCAACGTTTTTATTTTACATAATGTTGTTTTTTAACAATTATTACGAATTAAAAATACTTGAAACGGAACGTATTTTAAAACACCAATCAGCGTTTAGTGACGTCACTCCAGTTATGACAACTTCTTTGAGGTTATGGTTGTTAAAGTAAATATTATTTTATGGGAATATTTATTGCGTTTTTTTAACATTTAATAAAAACAGAAGTTGCGTTTATCAAAGCAGACTCCAGGAATTTACCAAGAGTTAGCGTTGACATGGTTATAACATTTTTTGTCCAAAGTGCAGTTTTTAAGTGTAGAAATGAAAGGGACTAAATTACTACGGTATGTAAAAATCGTAGTTGTTAAACTTCGTATTTTATTCAGCGGCTTCTACAAATCTTACGGCGATAATGCAATCGGCTATGTCCAAATTAAAAGAGATGGAGAATTATGTACAGTAAAAGGTCGAGTTCCCCGGAGCATAAAGTACGTAAAGAAGGTTATCGTGTTAAGGTTATTTTAAATGAAACGCAAAGCTTGGTTCAGTCCTGCCAATGTGAAGATTGTGCCACACATTTTAAACTTTATCTAATTTTCGACGTCATTCTCCAACTGTAAAATTAAAAATATGTTATAGACAGGTTTTGTAAGTATTAGGTAGGTTACTAATGCGTTTTTACGTACAAGCAGATTAATTAAGCATATATACAAGTATATTCGCCGACTTACGTCAAAGTGATCTTCTCAGCATCAAATAATGGTCTTTGGAGAATAATTGTCATTTTTCTTTGCAGCTTGAAACCACTTTTTTTTCAGTTTTGGGTCAGAAGTTCCAGTCAAAAACAATTTATTTGGGAACTTTGTTGAAGTAGATTGGCACAAAACATGAGTCACATGATGTTGATGGATAGTCCATTTTAAATTTTTCAAAAAAATATTTCGAAAGTCGAAAAAATATGCAAAAGTATGAAAATTTAAAGCCAGCAACGAACAAGTACGACTAGTGACAGACAGCAGTGACGTCATCGCAACTATAGGTTCGTTTTCGCGCGAAAATTTAAATTGTCAATTTAAAACCGCATTTTTTCCGATAAATCACAATGTTTTAATTTTTTAATATATCTGTGGTTTATTCTACATGGAATTCTTTAAAATGAAAACAAAAATAAAAATATTGCATCTTCCCTATTCGCCAGTTTACCCCCCAAGTCAAGGCGTGCCTAAAGAAGTTTCACTTCAAAAACATTTTAACAGAGCCATATTAATTATATTTTTTTGGGCACACAATAAACATAATGAAGATGGTACGGAGGACATAGGTACATCATGGTGGTATGAACGTACCGTACGTACTTACGACTCTACAAAGCAAGCACTTATTCTTAAGTTACCTATTATCTTCATAACTGAAACATACCTCAACAACAAAAGTTTTATTAGGTAAGATATGGTAGGTTATTGGGTTAGAGCTTTGAGTTGGTATAGATATAGGTAGGTATATATTAAACGTCACCTTCGTAGCGAGCGTTGAATTCGATGTAGTTTACTGGGTGATTTGACGAATAGAGTTGACAATGTACAACGAATAGTGATGGCAATTTAGTGAAATAAATCAATGAGTGAAACGAAACGCATTCGTCTAATGTTGCAGTGAAGCGTTATCGAAAACGGACGGAAAAGGGACGGAATATGTAAAAGGACATCGATGGGACGCTTTGATGAGGAAAGGGACGAAAATCGTCCCTTTTGGGACGTTCTGGCATCACTGTTTATGAAATTATTTTGATTTTTTTTTTGTTGAAGTTCTCCCGTTTTAGGGAAGGCAAAGGGAACAATGCCCATACAGCCTGGTCTTTAATTAAATTAATCTTCTTTTTGTTTTTACATTAGAATGTCGGTGTGACGCATTCTAATGTTTCTTGGAGTGTTTGGCACGAAATGTATCGAGTTAGCTTCTGTGAGGTAGTCAACACCACAATAAAATTCTCACGTCCACTTGACCGGAATAGCGTATATTTTAACGATTCCACTAATTCTTCAGTTACGCAGACAGTTGTTACACAAAACCACACCAATTTTATTTCACAATATCCACTATGAACGAATTTACGAATAATTAAAATAAGACGCCAACCGCACTCGATGAAGTCCCGCCAAAAACTCCTCTTCTTTTTTTGTAATTTTTTTTTTGATTTATTTATCCCTTTATGGACAGGCAGAGGATTCTAAGTCTATACAGCCCTATTTTTTTTTTCTTATCATCATCATCATCATCGACCCATGCTCGTCCACTGCTGGACATAGGTCTCTCCTAATGCAGGCCACTGCTCCCGATTTTCTGCCACTCTCATCCAGCCCACTCCAGCCTGCCTACGAATGTCATCATCCCATCTTGTCTCAGGGCGTCCCACACTACGTTTACCGAGTCGCGGTCTCCACTCAAGAACTTTACGGCTCCATCGGCCGTCAGTTCTGCGACTAATGTGACCAGCCCACTGCCACTTCAGTTTGCTAATTCGGTGGGCTATGTCGGTACTCTGTCGGATTACATCATTTCTGATGCGGTCCTTCAGGGATACTCCGAGCAGAGCCCTTTCCATTGCTCTCTGAGCGACTTTAAACTGGAGGACCAGTCCAGCCGTGAGTGTCCACGTCTCGGCGCCGTATGTCATACCTGGGAGGACGCACTGGTCGAAGACTTTCGACTTAAGACATTGAGGGATGGGTGACGAGAAGACTTGACGAAGCTTATTCGCTAGCTTAAGCTAGGTAGACATATTCCTGAACAACTTCGAGAGGTACTCCATTAACAGTAACCAGTCCCGGATCAACGATCTCGTTGAACATGACCTTGGTTTTATCCAAGTTCATCCGGAGACCGATGCGTTTGAAAGATTCAGCCAGGCTACTCACATATTCAATTTTTTCTTATATGTTTATAGAATATATTTGTACTTAGTACTCTTATATGATTTGTACATTACCAGTGACAATTCTGTCACGATTCTCTATAAGTTTAGGTTTAGGTTTAGAGAATCGTGCCAGAATAGACACCATTGTTTATTTCACACTTTCAAAGTTTTACATAAAGAATCGAACAGCAATGTATATCCTTTTAAAAAAGCCTTTGCTTAGATGTCAAATCCTGCTTCCACAAGAGAACCTATATATTTTTTTTATTCTATGGCTGTTAACACGGAAACGCTGAATGTCCTGAAGTTGCACTGTTTGCAGTTGCACTATTCCACTGTTCATAACCTTGGCAATATTTGTTTTTCGCAATTCGGACCGCGGCGCGGGGTACATGTTCGACCTGTCACTGTCAAGCTGTCAAATCTTAGGGATTAAAATATTTGCTTTGATGAATTGAATAATGTTTCTCGAAATAGAGAAGTGTATTTTTGGAAACTACAATATTGTGTAGAACTTGAATAATAATCAAATTTTATATCATTGTTGTGATTGAAATCAGTCAGAAATCGATATATAGTTTCGGGTGCAAAATAAGTTTTTTCGGTATAAACTGCCGGTTGATTTCATAGCAGATAATTCAGCAAGCTTTTTTAGGACCAAGTTTCTTTCTAGTGTCATGGGAGATAGAGATTGGAGACCATTCATTTACGGAGGTTTGGCGTCGATTGTTGCGGAGTTTGGTAAGTTTTTATATAGTTAGTTACAATAGTGATTCTTGTAGGGATTTTATAACCTAGATTGTAAACGCAGTAGCAGTATTCGCTTCATTATAAGCCTATATAATATCTTACAATCTGTATAGGTACATTTCCAATCGACACTACCAAAACGCGCCTTCAAATCCAGGGTCAGAAAATAGATCCTCGTCATGTGGAGCTGCGATACACTGGTATGGTGGACTGCATTGTGAAGACCTCCAAACAGGAAGGAGTCAAGGCTCTGTATTGCGGGTGTGTAAAATTAGAAATACTCTGTGGATGCCACTTTCAAATTACTCCTGTAATTTGAAAACTAATTGTTTCTCTAGATAATGGTAGGTAAGGTGTGCAATGTGGAGCCTAAAACCCAAACTGTTCTGTGATTATTCTATATTCTTTGAGTTATTTTAAAAACCTTTGCTCCTCAGAGCAAATGAAAACATAAAATGGTTATTTTAAGCTAATATTATTCATTAGCTTATCAATGATCCCTGTGCTAGAGAGCATGCCATTGATGGAATATGGGAATAGGCTACAAACCGCCATGAGGGTTCAGTGTACATTGGTTCACTCCTTACGAAACTGGGACCAATGTGCCTTCTGAAGCATGAATGACATAAAGATAGTAAAATTTTTGGCCATCTGTACTATAACTGCCGTTGCGAAAATGCTTAAATTTAGCATGTATTCATCATCATCATCAGCCTATTAATGTCCCCACTGCTGGGGCACAGGCCTGTATTATTAAAATATATTTTTTTTAATAGAAATAATTCCTCTTGGTACAGGTTTTGAATAAGATTTATAAATCTAGCAGTTCAATCCCAAAATAACAATTCAATTTATTATTTATAATATAAGGCATTTAACTGATAATCAAAAGAAAAATTTTGCTAGAAAAAATTAACTTTTCATAATGTTTTTGAGTTGTTTTTTGAAATTGGAAATTTTGAATTGATATTTAATTTAAATAGAGTTTACTAAACTTTATAGTGCTCATTGAACTGGCTACATCCTGTCATCATTGGTTATTTACGAAATTAAAGCAGATTTCTTGTAAAAAAAAAACATAAGGTCACATGACTAATGACTAGGTTGACACATTTGATGCAAGACGTGTCTCTGTTTGTTGCATAGTTGTTTGTACATAGATCTGTAAGCTTACATAACTCATTTTGCGTATTTTAAAGATAACCTTATCTCTTAATTATTATGTCTGAGAGGCAGGAGCATTACCCTAACTATGAACCAACTTAAACTGATAAGATTGCGTCATTTATCTTGACTCGCTAGCCTTTCATCCTTTGGAAATATCTTAGTTTTTAAGCAGATTATAATGAGTGAACTGTTATTATTAAATTTTAAATCAATTATAGTTAATCTTTCTAGATAAAAAATCCATGCGTATCATGCAGCAAACGGGACTCGAACCCACACCGCTCGCTATCCATTCGAATTTACTGACCATGACATTGGCCATGTCGAATTTTCTCTATCCTTTTTTAGGTTGCAAGGCAGCACCATCTCTTCGCATTGTAGGTTACTATTTATAAACCTTTTTAGGGTTTGTTTCCCTTTTGTCTCGGATAAAGTTGGATACAGTATAAATAAATTATAATAAATATATCTATATCTGATAAATAGTAGTTGAATAATTTGGATCCGGCAAACAGCAAAGGCCATTTATTCATAAACATATTAACTCGTTAAAGAATTTTAGGATGCAAGCGCTTATTTATATTGTTATTGTGCCACTTGGTGGCGCAACGCACGAGGCGCAAACCGCGGCGGATGCCATTTGTGCGAATGCTACTTTGTATGGGTCACCCGCATGTTTACGTGGATGCCAGTACGTTGTCCCACCTGTATGAGTTTACAAATAAACATCCAGCGACTGCCACCCGCCGCGGATCGCAGCTCGTGCATTGTTCACCTTATTGCGTATTGTTCCTTCGAGCGGGATCCATTTTGCGAGCTGCGATTTTAATTACGCTTTTACCGTGTAACTTTTAGAATATGGCCGGCAGTGCTCAGACAAGCGACTTATGGTACGATAAAGTTTGGCACGTACTACTCTATGAAGAAGGCTATAGCGGCGAGGCGCGCGGACGGCGGCGCGGTGGAGCACCTCCCCACTAACACGTTCTGTGCCGCGTTCGCTGGAGGCCTGTCCAGCGCCATCGCTAACCCCACGGATGTCCTCAAAGTGCGGATGCAGGTATGCCACATTCTAGTTTTAGATCTTAGTGCCTGATGTAGTTTACATTGTTTGAATTCAAATAATAGACTTAGATTTTTATGTACACTCAATTAATTGAGCTTACGCTTACGTAAGTGTACATGTTGGATAATTATTTATGCTAGTTTGCTGAACTTTTTTTTACACCAACCCCACCTGTGGGCCAATCGCCTAACCAGATTGCTTTGGAAAACGCTATCGCTTACGATTTCATTTTGTTATTTCTAACCGCCGAAATACCTCACGCTCATTTTCTTTAACATTGTTATTACCAATGCAAAAGAAAAAAAAAGAGCGCGAGGCATTTGAAAACCTCAGGGGGCTAGAAATAACAAAATGAAATCGTAAGCGATAGCGTTTTCCAAAGCAATCCAGTTAGGTGATTGGCCCCCTGATGTTAAGTGACGGTGAACTAGATGATTCGCATTTTTAAACTCAACTATCGGATGTAGATAAAGATCTTTTTCCGTATGATTCATGTGATCATTACTGCTGAGGAGACTTTCATCTGAATACATTTCTTACATTTGGACGTTGAAAAGTCCATGTTTTTGCTGGTGAATCTTATAGGCTTTCGCTCTTGCGGTTGGTTTTTCCACAGTTTTCATTGCCTCCTCTCACTTTACATTTTTAATATAAAATATTGTGTGAAGTTAGTGTGATATTATGTATTTATAGATAATATTATATTAATTTCACATTACTTTGTGTTAAACTACGAGATATTGTGAGATGAGAGCGCTGACAAACCTAACGCGGAATAACAAACCGCAAAGTCTTCTAAGGGGCCGTCCATAAATTACGTCATCGATTTTTTCAGATTTTAGACCCCCCCCCCCCTACAATCATCCTATCGTCATTTCTTAATGGACCCCCCCCCCCTTCTCCCAAAATTGACGTCATTACGAGTTTGACAAAATTAAAACATTGCTGATTTGAGAAAAGCTAGTATTATATGTAATATTATTGTTAGAGTATTTTATCTGTAGTTATTACTGTATTTGTGTACATCTATGTTGCATTATGCATGTTTATTATGAGTTATTTTAGTATTGTACGCGCCTTAGCCGCCTCTCACATTTGCAGTCTCACTTACTAGGTGTGCTGGAAGAAATTTCTTTTTAGAAATAATCTTTTTGTACGTGAACAATAAATAAATAAGAATGACGTCAATTTCGAAACACCCCCCTATCTATCATTTACCGTCATCCGCAGACCAACCCCCCCCCCCCCTAATTTAGAATGACGTAATATATGGACGGCCCCTAAGCATGCCTCGTTCATGATTTATTATTGGACGGGTCGTCGCGTAGGTAGGACAGGAGAAACGGGGCATAGTGCGTTGCTTCGTAGACATATACCGGCTGGAGGGCTGGCGCGGGCTGTGGCGCGGCGTGGGGCCGACGTCGCAGCGCGCCGCCGTCATCGCGGCCGTCGAGCTCCCCGCATACGACGCCTGCAAGCGGTGGCTCATACCCACCCTGCATGACTCGCCCCTCAACCATCTGCTGTCCAGCCTGCTGGCCAGCCTGGGCAGTGCTGTGGCCAGCACGCCGCTCGACGTCATCAGGGTGAGTGACTCCCCGCATACGACGCCTGCAAGCGGTGGCTCATACCCACCCTGCATGACTCGCCCCTCAACCATCTGCTGTCCAGCCTGCTGGCCAGCCTGGGCAGTGCTGTGGCCAGCACGCCGCTCGACGTCATCAGGGTGAGTGACTCCCCGCATACGACGCCTGCAAGCGGTGGCTCATACCCACCCTGCATGACTCGCCCCTCAACCATCTGCTGTCCAGCCTGCTGGCCAGCCTGGGCAGTGCTGTGGCCAGCACGCCGCTCGACGTCATCAGGGTGAGTGACTCCCCATTAATAGAAAGGTTTAATAGAATTGGTAGAGTAAAAGTCCTGATATAAGAGAAAAAAATCGGTGTGATTTATGAAACCAAGACACAAGTGAATCTTTATATATCATTAATACAAAAAAGTGCGTCCTCGGCTTCCTTTCTACATCCGTCCTTTCTACCACTGAGCCGCGGATGTTTGTTGATAAGGTCTGAATTTAAATAACAGTTAAAGTCTGTGTAATGAATCGTGACCTTACTTTTATTAAAGTTTTGAATATTAGTCAACATTAGTCTGTCATTTTGACGTTATGAATAGGCGATTTGTTGGGTGGGTTGGTTTTGATACTTTTATTTATTTTGTTAAAAAATATATATAGCAGGACCTCCCTTTTTTTAAAATTTGGTAATAATGTTTCATTAATCTGTTATTTTAAAGTATCAAGTCTATTATATCCCTATATAGTTTCTATAGCTACAGAATTTTTAAATTTGCCGTTCTTTTGGAGGGTCTCGTTTCAATTGACAGACTCTAAAGATGTTATGCAAAAGAATAAGGAAAAAAATTGTGGCAACATAATAAAAAAAATGTTTTTAATAATATCTAACTGGTGATGAAAACCACATTACAATTCTTTGCGTAGTTTACAAAGAATTACCTTATTTCAAAATAGACAAGGAAAAATACTTTATACCAAATAACTATACACTAAACAAACAATCATACTATTAATAATTGAGTTTACAGGAGTTATAAAACATACTTTTCAGATTTTATTGTTCTTTCTAGACGAGACTTATGAACCAGAGGAAGTTGAAGGACCACATAGCGAAACCCAACGAAAGGATATACCTTGGCACTACCGATTGCTTTCTACAGGTGAGGAACAGTTTAAAAAACACTTTATTTTTTATTTTTTTCTCTATTTTCTAGGTTATTGGTATGGTCCATTAACATCCAGCCATTACCACATTTGTGTTACAATAAAATACTAGGAGCTCGATGGCGCGGGTGGTTAGCGCGTTCGGCTGCGATCGTTGAAGTTAAGCAACTTTCGCAATGGTCGGTCATTGGATGGGTGACCAAAAATCTCGAGTTCCTCCGTGCTTCGGAAGGCACGTTAAGCCGTTGGTCCCGGCTGCATCTGCAGTCGTTAGCACCCGCCAATCCGCACTGGGCCCGCATGATGGGTCATGGCCTAATCTCCCTACTCCATCCATAGGGAAGGCCTGTGCCCCAGCAGTGGGGACATTAATAGGATAATGATGAAAATACTAGAAAGCAACTGCATCTCTTCACATTGAAGTTACCTAAAGTGATGAAGGTTCGATTCTCGAATTGAATATGGACATTTCCCCATCAACGATATTAAATACCTTAGATACATCAACACGAACAAAATCGTGACCGAAACCTGTCCAAAAGGTACATTGGACGATCCACGGCGCTCCGTAAGATGATCGCGTAGTCAAAAACAACATAAGGCATTATTTAAACATCGAAAGTCACCTTTAATGCATATTAAATAGGGTCTTAATTTAAACGCACACGTTAATGTATCAAGACCGTTCGAAATGCAATATCGTACAATTTTACGACTTGTCGCTGTAGTCGGACGAATATAGACTTTATTCCAATTACTTTATACCGCCATTCTGAATCCGTTGTTAGCAATATAGCAGGCACAGAGCACGAGGGAAAGAGACGACTATATAACCAACCATGCATTTGATTATTACAAATATTTTCTATTAATTAACCTGACGGGTTTGGGTGTCTTTCTCCTTTCGCGGCGAAGGGAAGACAGACGGACTGGCGCTGTAACGCGTTACGTAACGAAGCGGTTTACCCTCCCATAAGAAGTTGTCACTTCAAAATAGGGATGTCGAAAGTTGAAAAAAATATTGATATATCGATACAACGATCTTTTAAAAAATATCAATATCGGCTTTGATATATCGCGAAAAAAACATCGATATATCGGACCAATTTTCCCAAAAATATCGTGCAGTATCTCACGAAATATGACACGCGGAATAATAATGGAACGAAAATTATCTCCCTAAAAAAAGACCCTATTTTCGAATGATGAAAATGATTGCAGGGCCTCTCAGGTAAATGATTGCAGGGTGGGTCTCTTTCGTAAACGAGACTAGACAGTCACACACTTCACAGAATATAATGGAAATCAGCACAACCAATTCACCAGCGAAACAGATTTACAAATAATAGACAATACTAAATACAGCACAGATCATAGATATGTTGAATATCATTAATCTGAGATCCAGTTACGATTTTTCCAGATACGAATTTAGTTAGATCGTGATATGCCGCTAATAATTAAAAAAATATCGTTTTGGATACGAATTTCGATATTGGTTATTTTGTATCGATGTATCGATATATCGATACATTTTCAACAAACCTACTTCAAAAACCTTTGACATCACCATTTACCTATATATTGTTGTACCAGACGGTGCGCAGTGAAGGCGCCCGCGCGTTGTATAAGGGTCTGGGCCCCACGTGGCTGCGCATGGGGCCCTGGAACATCATATTCTTCCTCACCTACGAGCAGCTCAAGCAGTTCTACTGAACTGCGGAACACGAGACATCTCCACGCCACGATCACGTAATTATAAACATATCTAATAGGGGTGATGACGGGGTACAGTAAACGTAATTCTATTTAGTCCGTCAGTTAGATGATCAAAAAATAATGGACACGTATTTTTTCTTTGGGAAATCAACCAAAAAATGACAAAGTTATAGCGCGTCAAAGTTTGGGAGTAGGGGCTCGTGACGTCACTTTTGAGTGAATTTTCACTTATAAGTGTACTCTAACGTGACGTCATGCGACTTTTCAAATCAATATATCTCTGCAATGTTTATATTATGTGAAAAAAGAAAAAATACGTGTCCAATACTTTTTGATAATCTACCTGATAAACGAAGAAAAAAAAGTCATCATCCCTATTATGTAGCGTTTTTCACAAATGTCATTATGCCATTTCATTTTTATATTGTGTTATTTATGGCTAGAGGACTTTTTGGCGGGATCGGGAAGCGTAGTTTATCAGTTTTGTTTTTCTTGTTAAAAATTGTGTTGTGTCGGATGTTAGTGTCTAAATAATGGTGGATTATTAACCACTAAGTGTTCGGAAACATGCACAAGTGTTGGCAAGTGAAACAAAATAGCGGAAAGTGTCTTTCGACGTTCCCTCAAGAAGTCCATGGGGACTTTGACTTGACTAATATTTTGACCACGAGTGCTATAGAATATGTAAACATTTTACACTTGACATTGGCTAAATGCACAAACCGTGCGAAGTCATATAGAAAAAAACAATAAAATATGGCTATTCTTGATACTTGGGTCGAGTTCAATTAGCAGTTGAAGTTCAAGTAAAAATAAGTCAATATATTAGTTTTTGAAGTTATACTTCTTTAGGCGCGTTATGAAAAAATGATGAGAGTGAAATTTTAAGATGCGCGCGCATCACTGTAACACAAAATTTTAATGCTGTTACTTTTGTGTTTACCGCACATTAAGAAAATCTACCAACAAAATAGAAATAGAAACTCTATTTAGTGGGTGCTAACGACTGCATTGTGAAGGCCTATCAAAAGTATTTATTAATCTGGAACAACGGAACCAAAGCGCGATTCAGGAGACTACAGCGCCATCTCTTGACCATTGGTGTAGTAGAACCAAAAACCACATCTTTATTTTTTGTAATAAAGTAACAGTTATAGGTATTCATATTTATAATATTTATCCACATGTTTCTAGTTTGTATATTCGGAATACGTGTTTGAGTTTCATACAAGTGCAAATCACATATGTTCTAATAAATTATATTCAGTAGCGATTTTAATTGAATATTTTGATTATTTATTTATTTTTTCAAATTAAAATTGAACTTTATTGACTGTGTCCTTTTCCAGACTTTTTATTAATTTATTGTAATTAATTATTTGCATGCAATTAAAATCTAATTTTAAACGATGCCAACGAAGGATAACTTCTCACGCGCCTACATAAGTACACGCACCCATTTTTTTTCTTCTAAAAAAGAGACACATTTTAATGATTACCAAAAATAGTAATTGGTCATAATTTTAGATGTTCAACTCTTCTTTTCTCTAATCATGTATCAAATATTTCTTTGAGAATCATTTAAATGTTTTCGTGAAACAATGTACCCATTAAAGTTAAGCTGGAACGTGAACAGTCACTTCTTTTCATTCTATAAATGATAATATACTCCTGAAAACCTAGGAAACGTGAAGTGGTAGTGCGTCCGCCCCGATAGCCAAGAGGACGGGTTCGAGTCCCGTCAGCTGCCGGGTCCTATCTTTAAAAATTTGACGGGCTGAAATCACAAAGAAATCTATTATATTGATTAAATAAAAAAATGCTAGAGAACTATTATTTTTTTCTCAAAATTTATTATTTAATCACCTAACATAATGTTATTTTACTAAACACATTTACAAGATGTGTGTACTAAGTAAGGTTATATTTTTCAGGATTTCAAAAACGTCTGAAGACACTCCGGTTAGAGTATATTGCATAAGATGGAAGTAAACTTAGTTATTGTATTTTGAGGCTGCTTTTTAAATGTAAGTAGTATCAAATACTAATTCAATATAATTGAAAAGAGAAGTTTAACCACCATTAATATGCATACGCGTTTTAATATTTGTGTACATACAGAAATAAAGAAATATGTTATTTACATAGTGTCTGTGCGGAAAGAGAATGGGCGTGGCGAAAAACGGAACTAACATTAAGATTTTTATTTGGCAATCAAACCCGGCAATCTGTAAAACGTCAAAATTTTGTATTGATACGGATTTGTTTGTTGTTGTGATTTCTTGTGGTTTCTTGTAATAATCATGTCTAAAAGGGGTAAAACCTTACAAATACGGTAGAAAAGCACTACAGCGCCCTCCAATCTAAATCCCATTCTCTTTGCGCACAGACTCTACAAGAGACTGGACCGATGTGAAATAAAAATATTAAATTAATATTTTCAATCAATGCAAATTTCCAGAGCTTATTTAATTTTATCATATCTGATGACCTTTGTGTCTAATGTGATAAGGTCCATTTTACTGACATTGTTTCCTACTACTTTATTTGTATTTTTTTATTGATACTATATAATTAACGTATGACGTTACTTATTATTAAAATGATCTTACAAATAATCTTGTAATTCTCATCTCTTTAACGAGTTTTCTAATCTATAGATATAAATGAATAATTTCTGTACTTTTGTCTTTCCTCGACTTTTGTAACCCTGACATTATAATACAGTACCTCTAGCACGAACCAATATCGAATTCGTATCGTTTGCGAGGCCGAAATCTCATTGTCAGATGTGTACTGATTTTTAGTTCCCGTTACGTACTTTGTGGCGCTGCTGTTCAAGTTACTGTACCCCTAGCACGAACCATTATCGAATTCGAATAGTTTGCAAACCGAAATGTCATTGTCAAATTTTGTATGGAAACTTGAATAGCAGCGGCACAAAGTACGTAACGAGAACTAAAAATCAGTACACATTTGACATTGACATTTCGGACTCGCAAACGATACGAATTCGATATTGGTTCGTGTTAAGGGTACTGTTGCAATTTTTAAAGAAATCTTAGCTCCTACTCTCCACTGAGCTTAATAGGTTACCAAAACTAGTTAGTACCGATAACAGCTATACTCCTCTGTCATTGGCTGGATTGTATTGCTGTCTTAATTTCGACTAATGAGAGTCCCTTTTGTACCAAAACTAGTTAGTACCGACTAAAGCTAAACTGCTCTGTCATTGGCTGGATTATATTGCTGTCTTAATTTCGACTAATGAGAGTCCCTTTTGTATCAAAACTAGTTAGTACCGACGAAACCTAAACTGCTCTGTCATTGGCCGGATTATATTGCTGTCTTAATTTCGACTAATGAGTCACTTTTGTACCAAAACTAGTTAGTTCCTACAAAAGCCAAACTCTGTCATTGGCTGGATTATATTGCTGTCTTAAGTTCGACTAATGAGAGTCCCTTTTGTACCAAAACTAGTTAATACCGACAAAAGCTAAACTCCTCTGTCATTGGCTGGATTATATTGCTGTCTTAATTTCGACTAATGAGAGTCCCTTTTGTACCAAAACTAGTTAATACCGACGAAACCTAAACTCCTCTGTCATTGGCCGGATTATATTGCTGTCGTAAGTTCGACCAATGAGAGTTCCTTTTCTCGCTTGACGCAGTTTGCCCTTTTGTGTTTTGTCCATGGACTTGAACTTTCGCTATCATGTGATTAAGTTCCACAAACTCGTTTCTTTGAACTCAGTTTAGTAACATACAGAGTATAGTAACTTATAGTTCCTTTATGCATATAATGTGAACTTTCCTGACCTCTGCACAGATTCTCTGCTGGACAGAAATGTACAGTCACGTATATGTAACTACGGCTGGTAAAGACATTAGCATATCAGCTCACCCTTTCTTTATCTTTATAACACAGAATAAACGCAATATTGTTATATTTAGTGCAAATGCATCGTGTTTAAATGTCCAATAGGGTATTTGACAGTGTTAAAAATAAAGTGCCAATTGTTAGCATCTGTGTTTAGAATGAATATTGGCCGGGGTTTTTACTATTTTTACAATAAAAATATTCTTAATTTTACTAAAAACCCACGATAAAGATAATAGTTTTCTTATCTATTGTCACGTGACCCAAAACGCTTGGGATTGGCGGAACCTAAAATGACGTCACACGCAAGTAAACTTCCGGTTAAAGCGACATTACATGGGATCGTTTGACGTTTTAATGACAGTCGTGTGACGTCACACACTAGTAAGACGCCATATTGTCCAGAGTAACGTTTTCGCGGCAACTTGAAAATGGAGTTTTAGATTTGGTTATTTTTACTGAAATACACAACACAACGATGAATATCCACTTTTTACGGACTCCGTAAACATTAGTCAATAACGTGAGATCGTTTTCTAAAACTTGTCAAATACCCTATTGTGACTAAAGCGAATTGTGGTCATGCACCACAATTTAAGCGGATCAATTTTGAGCCGCGAGTGCCGTATCTTCCCTTTTAGTTTTAATCTAAGCTTAATTGTTGTTCCGATTTAAATACATTTTGAATATTGAACCAGAATTGTTAATAGGGATGATGACTAATTTTTTTTTCTTCGTTTATCCGGTAGATTATCAAAAAGTATTGGACACGTATTTTTTCTTTTTTCACATAATATAAACATTGCAGAGATATATTGATTTGAAAAGTCGCATGACGTCACGTTTGAGTACACTTATAAGTGAAAATTCACTCCAAAGTGACGTCACGAGCCCCTACTCCCAAACTTTGACGCGCTATAACTTTGTCATTTTTTGGTTGATTGCCCAAAGAAAAAATACGTGTCCATTATTTTTTGATCATCTAAATGACGGACTAAATATAATTTCGTTTACTGTACCCCGTCATCACCCCTATTGTAAAGTCCCACTGTAAAGCTGCTATGTAAGTAGGTACTCAATATCTAGTCCTCATATTTTGTGTAATATTAATATAAGTATATGTAAAATAAATATTGGGTAAATGGAATTGTAAATGTTAAATAAAAGTAGATTTTTTGTTTCAAATGTTATTAATAAATAAGGTATGGATGTAT